TTCCTTAACAGCAACCCAGGCACCCTGATGGCAGCTTTGACGTCTTGTCGCCACCTTGCAATCCCGAGATCCATGATGAGAAGATGTGGTATGTCTTGCCACTTCTTGTTGTGGTCGCGGGCATCCAGATGGGCTGCGTGGCAGGAGAGGGACTCTTGCTGGAGTACTCCCAGTGCGAGCCAGTAGAGTGCCGAGGGAAGATGAAGGCAGAGTTCACCATGGTGACAATGGGCGGCACACTGGTTTCCTCGGCTTTCGTAGGGGTATTCATGAATGGGAAGGAGTACCTGGGCACTTTCAATTGGAGCCTGTCCTTCCGCGACCTCTCGGGCGTGTGCTTACTCATCGTCACGTTCATGCTCCCCATCAGCCTTCGGTGTGTTCAAGAGCCCAAGAAGCTTGCGCGCCCATCATGCCGCGAAAACATGAAATCCTCTTGGAAGCTCGCCAGCAGCATACGTTAACAAGCTCTCCGAATAAGCCTCGTGCCCCACGTTGCCCACTTAGGCACACGCAGTGTGGTTCAACAAAAAGGTTCTTTACTTGCCGGCTAACCCTAAGGGTCCAAGTACCCAATAATCAAATACTCACCCCAAACCTGTACTGTAATTACTACTCCCCAACTCCCAAGTACCAAATTATTGGGTACATGGACCCTCTGGGTAAGGAAGCTCGTCAAGAACAAAGGCCTGTCGAACGTGCTGCTCTTTGGCTTCATCATGCAGTTCTTCGCCACCATCTCCACGACTGCAGGGCCCATGGTGCGCAGCCAGTGGGCCGGGGTCAAGGTTTTACAGCAGCAAATGTTTGTCATGTGCAGCATGCTGGTGATGATGTTGGCAACTTGGCTCTACAAGGAGCACTGCCTACAAACATGCTGGCGCAAGGCGATACTTTTTGCGATTGTAGGCGTGACCTTCTCCGATGCCATCCCTACCTTTCTTGCAGTCTTCAATGTAATTCGGAATCAGTACTTCTTCCTCGGCGAAGACATCCTCGGCGCAGTCCCCACAACGGCGCTCTCCTTGGTGCTGAACTTGATGCTAGGGGCGTTCTGTGAACTCTTTCTCATTGTTGCCTATTGTAGCCTGGTATAACCTCCTAATAGACCGTGCTTTTAAAGGGGTGTTGGAGGGTTCACCGGCAGATTCAGGATGATCATTGAACTCGCAGAGCCTGGGCGAGAAGGCCTCTGCTACGGCTTGATTGGGACTGTGATGCATGCCAGCCAGCCCGTCGCCACCGCCGTGAGCAATCAGGTAAGTTTCTAATAAAGCCTCCACACAATGTGTGGAGGAGTCACCTTTTGACATACTTCTTTGCATGACTCACCCACCGTTTGCGAAACTCAGGGCTTTGCCTTCATATAGCCTTGCAGATAGCGATCTTCACTGAAGATTAAGCGTCCCTGACTGAATTTGTCCAAAACTCCCGTTAGGTTTTTGGTCTCTTCGAACCCAACTTGTCCGATCCCCGCAACTACCTAGCGGACACGCCCAGCTTTCGGACAACTGTGGCCTGGTCCTACGCGGTAGCCTACAGTACCCTGGCTGTGTTGGGTGTCGTTAGTGTTTAGTTGCTGTTCAGGAACTTAATTTGAGTCGCTAGATTGGGAAAAACCATATTAATCATTATATTTACCCATTATGGTAACTGACCTTAAGTTCCTTAGCAGCAACCCAGTTACTGTAGCGTTTGTTCTTGCTGTCCCCTTGAAGAACTAGAATCCTTTGGTTCCTTTGGCCTAGGTGCCTCCATGCTTGGTGTACTGGCACTGCCGCTGATCCCGTGGCAAAAGGCTGATGCCCAGAGGCGCAAGAAGGAGCGAGCTAGAAATCCCAAAGGTGGGATGAGTGACCATAATGGCGTGTAGGGTTTAGGGTTTAAGGTTTAGGGTTTAAGGTTCCATAATGTGGTTATTTGGTAAATAGCAGGCGCCTTCTGATGTCACATTCAGAAAGGGTCATTAACAGCAGCCCAGGGGGTGCCAAGGTATTCTGTTTAGAGACATCCCCCTGTCAGACATCCCCCTGTCCGCCCAAAGAAGGTTGACCCCAAAGCATACAAGCCCCCCTAAACCCTAAGCCTTTCACCTGGGCTGCTGTTAAGAATCTTGAGTTACCAAAAATATGGGTACATAGCAGATTATAGGGTTGCCTTGATATAGTAACTTAGCTTAAGGTCCTTAACTGCAGTCCACTAACTTGGAGCCCCAAAACCTTAAACCCTAAACCGGTTTAGGGTCTTAGGGTTTAGAGTTTTAGGCTTTAGGGTTTAGGGTTTACGGTGCCTAAGCCCCTAAAGATTCTCCAGGAGTGGAGCTCCAGTACTGCAATGGCGACGTTGGTTTTGGGCATCCCTGCGCTGTGCTTACCCTACGGCGTTGCCGTTCTGCTGCTTCTAGGATCGCGGTTTAGGGTTCAGGGTTGAGGATGGTTTCCCAGGAGTATATATATGTATATATAGATAGATATA